TAACCGCATACACCATGGAAAAGTCCAATCTGGCACCCGGCGACGAGGGTACTTACCAGCGCGTGGAGACTCCACGTGCCACAGCTGTGGACGTTCATGACCCAGCCAAGCCTACAAGTACCAAAGAGAAGGGAACTGCCAGTGAATCTGGAAGTTCGAAGTCTAACCTTCGAGACGAGATGGTCCACGACGGCCCCTCTTCGTTCAATATATCGCATCTGTATCGGTACGCTACAACTTTCGACAAGGTGTTGCTGGTGATCGGTATCATCACGACCGGGGCGAACGGCGCGTTGTACCCTCTTATGGCCATTGTCTTCGGTGACGCACTCACGGGATTCACGACTACTCCTGTGGACTTGGACAAGGTGAACAAGGCAGCACTCAACTTCCTGTACATCGCCATCTTCATGTTCATTACGGACTACGTGTCGTACGTGGCGTTCTACTACAGTGCAGAGCGCCAGATGAAGGCTCTGAGGGGTGAGGCACTCAAGCACATGTTGTATCTGGACATCAGTTGGTACGACGCCCACGATGCACTGAAGCTGTCGAGTCGATTGACAGGAGACACAGTGAGGATCAAGGACGGAATGGGTCACAAACTGGGCGACGCTTTTCGATATACCATCCAGTTTTTCGTGGGTCTTATCATCGGTTTTACCCGTGGATGGGATGTTACGCTCGTGATGGCCAGTGTGATGCCGCTCATGGCTATTTCCCTCAGTTGGTTGATCAAGACGTTCACTGTCATGGCTGAATTCGCTCAAAAAGTGTATGCGGAGGCCGGTTCCGTGGCGGAGGAGACGCTGGGTTCTATTCGTACTGTAGCATCGCTGAATGGCGAACAGAAGGCTGTGCAGAAATTTGAAAAGAAGGTACTCGAGGCGGAGAAGCAGAATATCAAGCTGAATAACGTGTCGGCGGTGGTGTTTGCATTCTTCATGGCGAGTATTTGGATCATGTACTCGGCTGGTCTTTAGTACGGTGGCTGGAAGGCTTCGAAAGGTGATACTACACCCGGAGATGTGTTTGCTGCCTTCTTCGGTGTCATGATGGGTACCGGATCGTTAGGGCAGGTCTCGCCGAATATTTCTGCAGTGTCCAAGGCTGCTGGTGCGGCCGAAGAGCTGTTTGCCATCCTGGATACACCTAGCGCCATTGATGCTGAGAAAGAGGACGAGGGGATTATTCCAGACAAGTGTGAAGGCAAGATCGAGGCTGTGAATGTCAACTTCACTTATCCAAGTCGTCCTGACGCTCAGATCCTGCGCGACTACAATGTCACTATCGAACCTGGCCAAACGGTGGCGTTCGCGGGTGCCAGTGGTGGTGGTAAGAGTACTTTGATTGCTTTGATCGAGCGATTCTACGACCCCACCAGCGGAACGATCTACCTTGACGGTCGGGATGTCAAGACGTTGAACGTCAAGTGGCTACGTTCACAGATCGGTATGGTTTCGCAGGAGCCGGTGCTGTTTGCCACGACAATCTTCGAGAACATCGCTATGGGGGGAGACAACGTGACTCGTGAAGAAGCTATCGAGGCTTGCAAGTTGTCGAACGCACACAACTTCATCATGTCACTACCGGAGAACTACGATACACTGGTCGGTGAGAAGGGTGTGTCTCTGTCTGGAGGTCAGAAGCAACGTGTTGCTATTGCACGGGCTATCGTACGTAAGCCGAACATCTTGGTGCTGGATGAAGCTACGAGTGCACTGGACAATGAAAGTGAGAAGATCGTTCAGACTGCTTTGAACAACCTGATGGCTACAACGAACATGACGACGCTGGTGATCGCTCATCGACTGAGTACAATTCGTAATGCTGACAAGATTGTGGTACTGAAAGAAGGCCACATTGTGGAAAGCGGCACTCACGATGAACTTTTAAAGATTGCGCACGGCATCTACCAGAACATGTACCGTATCCAGGAGTTGCGGTCACAAGAAGAGCAAAAGGAGGCAGAGCAACGTGAGGCAGTACAAGATCTGCAGAGTATAAAGATGTCACGTGCGTTGAGTGCTGTGTCGACAAAGACGGACATCTCAGTCAGCGCCGTGGAGACGAATTCGTTGGACAAGAAGCCGTTCAACTTCGCCGACATGCTGAAACTCAACAAGTTGGAGCTTAACTATTTCATTCTTGGACTCGTCGGCACTTTCGTAGGAGGCATCGCGCAGCCAGCTTCTGCTCTACTGATCACGGGCATGATCACCGCTATGACCAAGCAATTTGGACAATTCCAGAGCTCCGGCGACAGATCTCACTTGGCTTCGATGTACGACGACGTGGAGCTGTACGGTATTCTGTACATCGCTGGTGCAGTGGTGATCGGGATCTTCACGTACCTGCAAATGTACTGCTTCACATACATGCAAGAGAAGATCACGACGCGCTTGCGAACTGATAACTTCAAGGGTTTGTGTCGTCAAAATGTCGGATTCTTCGATGAGAAGGAGAACGCCACGGGTGCCTTGACCGCTGACCTCGCCACGAACGCCACCAAGGTGTCGATGTTGTCTGGTGAGTCCCAGTCTGCCTTTTTCCAGGGTCTTTTCACGCTGTTTGCGGCTCTGGTGATCTCGTTCGGGTTTGGTAGTTGGCTGCTCTCGCTTGTCATGTTGGGGCTCATTCCATTGCTGTTGTTCGGAGAGATAGCGCGCATGAAAGAGATGGAAAGTGCTGGGCTCATCTCGGACGATCTTGCTATCCCCGGCGCGCACGCTTCCGAAGTTCTCAGCAATATTCGCACTGTGGCCGCTTTGGGGATTGAGAAAAGGTCTGCAGACTTGTTCGATGAGTTGCTGCAAGAACCTCTTCGTAAGGGCCGCAAAGAAGCACAAGTGAATGGTTTGTCACTTGGCTTCAGCTCGTTCATTATGATGGCGACGAACGCGTTGATCTTCTGGTTTGGTGGTAAGAAAGTGGACGATGGGACCATTGGATTCGAAGAGATGATGCGAACGCTGATGGCAATTACTATGTCGGTCCAAACTGTGAGTATGGCGTCCAGGTTCTTGAGCGACGCACCGAAAGCATTTAAGGCTGGCTCAACCATCTTCGCGATTCGAGACCGAGTCACTACAATCGACTCGTTTAGTCCGGATGGTCTCCGTTTGGCCAAGGTCGAGGGTCGTCTTGAGTTCAGAGATATCTCGTTCAGATACCCTACTCGTCCAGAGATCAACGTGCTTAAGCACTACAATCTCACTATTGAGGCTGGTCAGACCGTCGCCTTCTGTGGCCCCAGTGGTGGTGGTAAGAGTAC